GGGTAGGGCGCGAGAACTTGTGTCTACGGGTGCCACGCCTCCACCAGCTCACCAAACATTATTTAAGGATTCACAGTCACTTTTTAGAGAAAATACTAGTACAGTGAGAAGAAGAATAAGTTTACTTTATCTCACCGAGTAAATTACGAAAACGAATAGTTAATAGAGGGCTATGACAGTTGGTGAACAACAGACTGATGTCCAGAATGAAGAGGATTGTACGTGCATCCCAAGAAGTTGCAAACGGTGGGGCGAGAGCTAACAAGGGTGTGCGTATAACGAAAGCAAATCAGTGGTAGGGAAGGCAAAGGAGGTTTACCTTCCAAAATCACAGAGCTTTAACACGCCTGTAGAAGGATCGAGAAGTAGATTCTGCGGTTTGATGTCCCTGTGGCAAATGCCCTTGTTGTGGATATAAGCAAGACTGCGGAAGAGCTGGTACATGTACAACTAAAAGAGTAAGCAAAGGGACTTGTTATTTATAGCACTGGCTGTACTAAAACTAGGGAAAAAAACTAAATAACATTTTAAAGCGCAGTGTAAGAATACAGAGAGTATTATATTGAGATGGTATTTAGGTCCAGCGGTGCATGTCAATCACTTCTCTACAACGGACCCACAAGCAGCGGACATTTAGAAAGACTGCATCTTTGTTAAGTTTAGCATTGGCAATGTTTTAGGTTCCCGAATAAATATTCGGGTCACCTAGCGTTCACGGGTCACTGATGCAGTCTTCAAAGTGTGCGTCATGTCTACCTACGGCAGTAGTTTACAGAGATTGTGCAGCCTAAACAGAAATCAGATCTTCGGAAAATTGGATGCAGAACCAGTGGAGTCATACTTGAACGAGCACGGACGGCCTGTTGTTGTTTCAGGCTGGGTGCAGGTTAGTGGAACAGGCGCGGAAACCGGCATAGTGTGCGTAGCCTCCTTATACAGATAGAAAGGGCGCAGCCTATGGTGTGTGGAGGTAAAAAGGCAGGCCATGTTTCCAAATACACAGAAAACAGCCCACTTTGCAAGCGCTGAAATAGACCGTTTCTATCAGTATGAATTTTAAGGAAGTCCGACAATTTCTTATGGCAAATTGCTTTCATGTGCGTTTTTTTCAAGGAAATCCGACTAAATTAGTGGAACAAAGTTCATATCAATCAAGCAGTAGTTGTCATTCAGATGTGACCGGGAGCATTTTCAACCAAAATCTGACAAGTTAGTGTAGGAAAGAACCTGGGACTACAGTTAACTGCTGCTCCGGGCTGCAGGCTCAGTCAAGTAATCCCTCCGCTTTGGAATCAAATTTCAAATATTCAAGCAATATTTCATGGGTTTTGACACAAACTGTAGGGCATATTGAGACTGTTTACAAAATGTCTCAATGCGTGCAACGAAGATCCGACGACCACAGCCGATTGTGGAAGCAATATGAACAGCTCAAAATAACCAAGACAAAATATACATTCAGTTAGCGCCTCTACATTTATTGATTTTCCATCCTTTCGGTTAAAATGAATTTCTTTGAAATCAAACAATGATTTGCTCGCGCTGATTGCCCCTTGTTAAACACAGAAAAGCATGATTTCTGGGCAATTTCATCGTATTGCTCAATGGTTAGAGATGAGCATCCTACGTCTTAAGGGGACCGGCAAATGAGTTTTCACTCCTTACTTAGTTTAATAGGTATGCACCCTCAGGAATCAAAGTGGGTAAATATTTTGGTGGTATCTGTGAAACATTGGGTTGTATCTTAA